ACAATTTTTTTTATTTTTTTTAAAATTTTTTTATTATTTTTGATAAACAATTCAATATACCTCATAGTAACTAAGGGTATTTATTAGATTTTAAGTAGTTCTAACGAAAATATAATCATAATTCCATATAGATAATCGTGACAACAACAACACGTTGTACGATAAGGAATGAAATAAATTAAATGAAACTGACTAGCCACTTTAAAATATTTACATTTAGTTTCAAATTATTTATTTAATTACTTAAGCCTGTTACCCCTCGTCAACGAGTATAGGCCACCTACTAGTATTCTCCATTCAACCCTGTCCTAAACAATCTTTTCCAATTCTTTCCAGTTAACATTCATCCTTTTCATATCTGCTTCTATTTCCCGATGTAATGTAATCCTTGTCCTTCCACTTTTCAGCTTCTCTTCAGGATTTCAAGTAAGAGCTTGTCTTGTGATTCAGTTTAGTGATTTCCTGAATGTATGTCCGATCCACTTCCAACGTCTTTTCCTAATTTCCTCTTGAGACGGAAGCTGGTTTGTCCTCTCCCATAAAACGCTGTTGCTGATTGCATCCGGCCAGTGGATGTTGGGTATTTTGCGTAGACAACTGTTTATGAATACTTGTACCTTCTTGACGATGGATGTAGTAGTTCTCCACGTTTCAGCTCCGTGCAGTATGACTGTCTTGACGTTCGTATTGAAGATTTTCACTTTGATCTTGGCTAATAGTCATCTTGACTTCCATATGTTCTTCAATTGTAGGGATGCTGCCTTTGCTTCGCCAATCCTCGCATTTACATCTGCATCAGATCCTCCACTTTCACCAACGATGCTTCCCAGGTATGTGAATGTTTCCACATCTTACAGAGTTTCGCCATCAAGTGTTACTGGGTTGGTGTTCTCTGTGTTGTATTTGAGAATCTTCCTTTTTCCTAGCTTCAAATTAGCTAGTCAATATATAGCCGAATGAAGGAACTAAACAACATAGAACCATAAATGATAGTTGATGACTGTTCGAAGTTATTATGCATTAAATCAGAAACCAAAGTAATTGGACAAGTCCATCACAACTATCTTATTATTTGCACTTGATTTGATTTAGGAAGGATAAATTTTTACAGAGAAATTATTTTGTAAGATCTCGAAAAATTTTCAAATGACATCTGGATTTAAACAGTTGTACTTCACATTGTTGATGAAGAATTTAATTTTTTTTGTGAAGAAACAAACAATTCAGAGTATCTAGGTAGTTTTCAAAATCACTATGCATCTTGTACGAAAGTAATTGAGTCTAACGCCATTTATATAGACATAGAAAACTAGGATGGACGGTGACTTGGCGTACGCCAAACATTATTCAGCTACTACAGTTTACTGACGTTCAAAATAATATATTGACTCATTTGGTTTTTATTTTAAAACCTTTGCCTGAGTTTCCTAGCTCAGTAGCTTCGATAGTCGTTAAGTGGTTTAAACTAATTTTGGACAGAATATATTTACATTGTTCCCTCTTCATATTCAGTATATATTTGGAGTATAACTGAATGAGCCACCAAGCAAAGAACACAGGTTAGTGTACTTGACTTTTAATAGCCTGATAAAAGTCAATTTGTTCCTGTGGTTAATTACAACATAAAAGAGCAGCAGTTTAATATACCAAATGGTTTGAATAATTTTTTCTCGTTAGCGTTTTGTTTGTGAGTTAGTTTATTACGGGATGGGGTCGCTAACCCTACGACCAACCCTCCTCCTTTATTCGGGCTCGGGACCGAACTCGTGCAAATACTTTTATTTTACTAAGTAATGACTTCGTCAAAAGTATTCTGATTTTAGTAATTTAATTTTTTATATTTAGGCAACTAATGATCAAAATTTCACTTTCGTATTACGAACCATCATGAAGGAGATCTTCACGTGAAGCAAAACTCCTGACTTTGCTGAGATTTATTAGACTTGAAATTCTGACAATCTGAGGTAAACAGGCTCTCTTCAAGAAAAGAATAGATTGATAAATGACTTATTGCTCTTATCGTACTAGATAAATTTTTCATTATATTATTGACCAATTGTTCGTACCCAATTTTAAGGCTGTATCGGTCTTCATATTTCTATGTATTTTTCAAAGACGAAATCATGAGTCAATTGAAGCTAGACCACCATCGAAAACCTGGAATCACTGGACGGCCGTCTCGTCCTATTATGGGACTCCTCAGCAGTGCGCACTCACGATCCCGCACTCGCGAGATTCGAACCCAGGACCTACCAGTTACGAGCCAGAGCCCTTAACCGATAGACCACTGAGCCGGCATCCAACGGTGTTAATGTTTAACTTTAACTGATCCACGAATTATGAGCGACACTTCACCATTTGCCTTCAGTGAGTTATCTCACAACAGACGTGGTTGAACTCCACTGGTCACTGCTTCCCACTAGAACTCCAGGACATGTATCTTGAAGTCAGTCACTAGTGAGCATATGATTATAATCAGAAGGGAATTTGTGGAGATTTCAGTATATTTCAAAGTTGAAATCATGAGTCAATGTCCTTATTTTTCGTTCTTACATTTCCAAAGTCGGATTAATTAACAGGTCGAGTGACGGCCTACAACTAGACAACAATAAGGTAAACACACATGAATACAGTGGTTTGTAGCAAGCCTATTCAACTACTGTATTATTTGTGTGCTCTCTGTAATCTTAACATTTAATCCACTTTGTAAATTTAGGTGTGAGTCTGATTGAGCGCATGTGTCCGCACATCAATTTTTATTCTGTTCTCTCATTGGTTGTAAACAAAGACAATCAATAATTTATCCACAATCCATTAACACTCAAAAATATATATGGATTTTTAACTCACACACACACTCACTTGCTTTCCCTGTGTGCTTGCTATCTGTACACTTGTGGATTTTTACCGAGCTTCAGCAATAAACTATCTCGTCAAAACCCGTAATTCTACTAGGAGATTTAGCCTGCAGTAAATAATCAGTTAGCGGGATATTATTTATTTATTGGTGTCAGATATAGAGGAATTAATCCTCTACAGGTTACACTGATAGATGTGAAATTATTCACATCATAAAGTTGGCATCATAGATAACATTGAATCTGCTCCCTTTATGTTAGAATGGTTATTGTTTAGTCACTTTGTAGATTTGTAGATCTTCACACTGTATGAACAACTGTTTAGGAACTTTTCATCATACATAAAATGTGCTATTTTATCTGTTTTTCTGTCATTCAAGTCTTGTTATTTGTCACTAGGCTAGGGATTAAATGATGAAGCTAAGAAGATAATTTTTCACTGAAAGTGTTTTCATTCACTGATTTGTTTGCGCAAAAGCATTCAAAAATTTCCAGTAAACTTTAATTCTCAATTATTGAATATCTTCTGCATTACTCATTTTGAACCGTTAATAATACAATTGGAAATCAATGAGAGGTATATGAATGTTTATAGAGAAAGCCCAAGCAATTCATTGTCTATTTTTTAAAAATCAAGCAAATATTTAAGAAGTGACAAATTATATTACCCAAATGTTGCACCCATGTTAGTTCCCGTTTAACAAATAAACGTGTATAGTTCAAAGTTGAAATTATGAGCTAATTGAAGCTAGACCACCATCGAAAAACTGGAAGCACTGGACGGCCGTCTCGTCCTATTATGGGACTCCTCAGCAGTGCGCACTCGCGAGATTCGAACCCAGGACCTATCAGTTTCGAGCCAGAGCCCCTAGCCGATAGACCACAAACGTGTATAGCTTAAATGAAACTTAAACTTTAAAAGTCTCTTTTTTTAACAGTTGAATAATAGCATCGACTTACATTATAGGTTCACGATTCCAGTTCATTCTATAGAAACCACATAAACGTTTTTGTCTCCGACATATACAATATATTATTATTCCACATGAAATAAGACATAGAACAATAAATACACTGATAAGCACATATATCCAACTATTATTTGTTTTTTCTATTACCTAAGATGATAAAGAAAACGTTATCGGGATGGGTCAATCAGAATTGAGGATCTAAATGTTAGGCTTTGTACGAAATTCAACTAATACTTATAATGAACAGAAGAAATATCTTTCTATATGCCTTAAAAAAACATTTAAAATGATTGCGGACAATTACTTTTCATAGTTAAAATCATGAATCAATTGAAGCTAGACCATCATGGAAAACCTGGAAGCACTGAACGGCCGTTTCGTCTTACTATGGGACTCCTCAGCAGTGCGCATCCAGGATTACTTTTTGCCATAACTGAATACTACTACTACTACTACTACTACTACTACTAATAATAATAATAATAATAATAATAATAATAATAATAATGAATAATATAAAATGTTAAGTTCTATCTCTGTAGGTAGCGTATAAGACAAACAGACACTGACCCTCAACAATTAATCATCAAAAAATCTTAAATTGATAGTGCTATGCATGTTATAGGCAAACTAATCAGATAATCCCTATTCGATCTTTGCCCTAAACTTATTCATCTATTTGTCTGTAGACAATTTTCCATTATGTCTGATGCCAGTTTTTGATAAAGACTATAACCTCAAAACTCTTAAACCCTATCCCAAATACCTAACCTTAGCCAAGAATAACTTGGGGAATTAGAAATCTATTAGGGTCTTTACAAGGGTTCAAGAGGTCGGATAATTAGTATTTGTATGGACGAATTTATGTATGGTGTTTTACAATTTACAGGCGGACTAACGTGTGGAATAGACTAATACATTTAGTAGATATGTAAAATTTGTTTACAATTAGAAATATTATTATTTGTTTTCCATAAACTATGTCTTTACAAATATTGTTTACTTGTTGACTATAAACCGGTTAAAAGTTTGTCGCTATTTATTTCTCAAGTTCGTCCTTATTCTATACTTTCGAGAGAAAAAAAGTGAACATTTAAGGTTGATATTTCGTAAGTGTTGTATCCCATGGAGAATTATGAATGGTAGCTTTTGAGGACTATTTATAGACCGATGTAATATGTATATTTCCTATTGTTTAGTAGCTAAGTAACTAAGCTATTCATATTCCTTTTATTATAAGATTTATTTTGACCTATAGACTATTATACGTTTTACCATTCTTGAGTTATACCCAGTCTATTGATTATTGTTCTCCCTATTCACAACGACATTTGGCTAAATCTTGTATAAATGTTATTTTCTATTTTATGGTACGATGTGGTCAGTTTGTTTGGTATATAAACTCAGTATGTTTGAGAAAATTACTTCATATTTCCGAGGGTGTTATTGATGTTCTGGACTTAACTGGCTGGGCTAGGCAGATAGCAGGACTGATAAGTTCTCAAGACTGTTCATACGGTTTTTGTGTATCATAGCTCTGATTGATAATTCGCTCTTCTCTCATTGGCGGTCATATCACTCATATGTAAAACAGGGCACGTACACACTCAATCGAATAAATATCAACTGAGCAAGAACACACAAACTCATACGATATAACATTAAGAGTTTAAGATTAGTGGTGTAAGAACAACTACTGATAAGCTTTTTTAGCTAAAATATTTTATAGTAAACGTAACTGATATTCAGTGATACATGCTTTTGACTTATTTTCTTCGGTTTGGATAACAGGAATTAAGGTATAAATTAGATAGATAAGCTAAGAGGGTTTCAATGGACTTTTATGAAGTCTAAATAAATGAAGATAACATGTGATTTATTTACAATCTAACACAAATCTGTCTTGTATTCAGAAGACCATCTTCAATTTCATAATTTTTTTTTCAGTAAGTTTATCATAGTTTCGATCTTACAAACATTCTACACAGAACCATTGAAAAGACATCTGTTCAATGTAACCCCTATCTCTGGGAAAATGACTTTCATTTACTAAAGTCCTTAAAATAGATAAGTTTACTAGTTGACTCAGACTACCAGTAAATAAGTTTTCCTGCATATACATTGATTTCTATTTCGCTTATATACTACACCAAATAGTATACCATATTTGAGTAAGTGATAATCAAGTATAAACCCTGTATATTGCAATGAGTTCAACATATGAATGTTAGGGGACAAGGAAAACAAACTTTATGAAAACTGCCAGTATGAATTCATCAGTTTTTAAAGAAAGTGGTATATTTTCAATTTCTAGGACTTTTTTTTATCTAACGAACCTGCATGATTGTCTCAACACAAAATAAACAGTAAACATTACTCTGTGACACATAGTAACTTCAAAATGTACGATCTTCATCAACCAATTAACTTCATGATATTCTTTTACTTACTAGGGATAAGTTTTCAGAACAATCCTCAGGGACTTTACTACAAAACTGTGACTGATAGAGTTCGACTTTATCAAACGTGGGACAGCTATCAATTTAATGGAGTTTCGCTAACTGAACTGGATCAAACTATCCAGCTCAGAGAACAAACCTTCATCAAAATCATTCATATGAGCTACAAATCTCCACCATCTTACAGCTATCATTTGATGATAACCATACTATATCACGAATCGTGAAATATTCAGTTTTGACTCTCTAGTTTAAAGTTGTCAAATATTCCATTCCTCAGTGTGGTGGTAAGTTTCAATTATCAAGAAGTCCTAAGTGAGAATTATAAAACTGATTTTCAATAATTCCCAAGCTGATGTCAGTACTTGAAGTAAACTAATTACGAACAAGTAAACAATTGATATTACTCTTGCAGGACTCATATGAGGGTTTACGATAAAATTGAGTTTCATTAAAATCACAAACCGATGAAAGCTATAAAACTATTGAAAACTGGAGGCACTGGATGACTGTTTCGACTCAGTACGGAACTACTCAGACGTGCGAATCCACGACCCTATAAACGAACGTTCTGGGATCGATTGGATGATTATCTTTCATGAGTCCTGTACTGGATCGTGATGGCCTTCCAGTGCCCCCAGCTTTCGATGGTTTCTAACTTAGATCGGTTCGTGTTTCCAATGAAATTCAACAATCTCTGCAATCTTATAATGACGATAACATCAAATGTTTTCAAAATAAACATTACTTTTCTTACTATTAAGTCATCATTGTTGTTTTTTGATGAAACGGTTGATAAATTTATTCTTTTGAAGTTTATAAAATCAGGTAAACCGTTTGAATTAACTATGGGTTTATAATGATCAGGCCATAAAGTTGGTGGTGTATTACAGCGTAGACCAGTCCACTGATTTTGACAAAAACAACGAAAATTTCCATAGAGATTTTCGCACATTGAATTTACACTACAAGATGATGTTATGTGGTGGTTCATATTAATACTTTTGTTGCTGTCGTTATTATTTGGTTTCATTGCACACTCATCTATATCCAATTCACACCTAATAATTGAATGAAAATAGCATCAGTATAATGCGGATTATCAAGAAAGAGAAAGAAACAGAAAGATAACAGATAAATGCAATTGTAGGTGGGTTTGTGAACATTGTTGATCGCCACAGTTTTAATCATAGGGTGATCTGATTTAAACAACCAACTAAACCAGAAAGTACTGGGCAACTGACTCGTCCTAGTACGTGGGTCCTCAGTGGTGTGGATCTACGACCCCATCAGAGGTCTAACCCAGGGCCTTTAGGACTCTTAGTAATCATCTAACCTTTCGACCACCGAGCCAGTAACTTATGGTTTACATTGCTATCATCAATCGATTAGTGACACTCTGCAACCATTTCCCGTGAGATTAGTGGGTAAATGTTTCACACTCAAGTTTCTGGACACCTTAGATTAGTCACCGGTAAGCACATGATTTCAAGACACCCTATCATGAGTATACTGGGTGAGCTTGAGTAATCTGAACGATAATATTTCTGAGGTTCTTAGGTAGTTGAAAGCGATCGTTAGGGAACTTTGAGTCTAAAGTTGAGATACTTGTCACTTTTCATTAGACCATGTCAACAAGTTTGATAGAATTGATGTTTTTCACTAGACTCACACATTCTCAATTCACTGCTGTTGCCAAAATCGCTACCACTGAGGTTTTTTAGAATACAATTGGTCTTATATAGGATTGGGGTATTTACACCTACTGATCACTGAGTAGTTATCAGTGTCATGTTTATCTAGTCTAGAGTGCTGATCTTGTTCCATGGATTGAGTTGCACTCCGGGCGCTAAACTAAAGGAGTTGATAAAGTGTGATACCTTTCATCTGATTTTCTTTGGTCATGGACGCTAACAGGAGGCCCTAGGACTAGATACTGTACTAATCAATACATACTAGCAAGGCGGATATGGAGTCTTTTCAAATTTGCAAACCCGTGCTTAAGCTGGTTAAATTTGATGGTATTTTTGGATATCCCATTATTGTGATTTATTCCTGAAACTGAGTCTATCAGATTCTGTTGACATTTCAGGTTTTTGTGAATGAATACCAGTAAAGATATTTGTATTTGCAGTTAGAAATTATCTTTACTGTCAAGCCATATTCAAAGAAATATAATCCTTAATGACTGTTTCATGTTGCACGTCACAATGTTGACTATGGTTAAAATAGTTCCCACTGTTTAGATTCATGACAAAAGAATTATTCCTACGAAATAAAAATCAAATCACGAATATCAATACTGCAGACATCCTTAGAACATTTTAGGTGAAACCACTTTCCATTTTGTTCCAAATAGCATCTTGGATGGTGTGTTTAAGCAAAATGAACGATTGTTAACGACCTTGTGATTTTTATAATCTTATCAGTCAGTGTCTAAAGAAGTAGAAAAATTTACATGAGACTAGCTTTCGAAAAAAGCTTATCGAAATTCTAATTCCCCAGTTGATCTACAATCTATTGAAATTAGTGTTTGAATTTAATAAACATCAATAAAACTTCATATACATGGTTTACATTCAATAAATATTATAAGCAAATTTTTATGCATTAAAATGTAATCAGTCTGAATTACCATTTGCCTGTAAACCCAGGTATACAAACACAGTATGGAATTGGATTGGATAAACTTCTGTTTTCTTCATCAAAGTACTTTAGTAGGCAAAATCCATTTTGACAAAAATCTTGTAAAGGACTGCATTGATTTGGAGGTTCTGAACAATGTGGTCCTAAAAAGAAGAAAATGAAAACTTTCCAGATTTAACTACTTCCGGCAGTGCATTATCGTGACCATCCACTATCTGTCTGTTACATTAAGAAACAAACTATATGTTCAAAGACGTTTCTTATGAACGAAGGAATTTGTGTAGTATGAAAATTGACGGATGGAACCTCAAATATAACCTGCTTGTATATGATAAAACAATGTGATAATCAAATGTTTCATGAAATTGGAGTTAAAAACAGTAAAATGAAGAGGGGGACAAATAGGAAAACAAAAATGTAAGACAATGTATTGGTGTAAATGTGTCACTTGTCCACAGTACATAATTGTTTTAGTTGTTGATGTCTCGTTCCCCAGAGATAACAACTGGAAAGTTTATGGTTATTCACCAGGCTATAACCGAATACGGATAAACACACATGTGACTATTGTACCTTGACATAATTTTAACAAGACTTATCCTATTGGATGTGGACGTGAGAAATGACAGTAATTGACCAGGAATAAGAAAGTCGATAGTCCCATTAGATGAAAATTGATTTCAGGTAAATCTGTATGAGGTTTAGATATTCGTCAATATCAGACGAAAAATTTATCGACAGTAATATTTTTTTCGTTATTAAATTTTTAAAGCCTATGACCACACATGCAAACTTATTTTACCCTGGCATAGTTGTAGAGAGTCCTTGAAATATACTGTTGCACTTTATAGGTTTAAGAAGAGTGTGGAATCGGAAATAATTTGTTTTTTTTCAACCAACAATAATCTTTTCACCATTTGACTATGAAATCAAATCTAATTGGAACAAATCAAGTAAGACTTAGCCAAAAAATGGCAACACCTGTTTCAAATGATGTGTTACCTAGGCCGCAAGAAATCAATGGCTAACTAATCGATCATGTCGACTTAAGGCCTATAATTTGAAAAGATAGTAAAATTGGTTCTTGTAAACAAATAAATAATGTATTGGAACTTATTCTGTTCGTAATTTGATTCGGTAGAATATTTTAAGGGTAAATTATGTGTAGGAGTATAAGGAACTTTTACTCATAAGACGCTGCACTGATTTTAATATCACCGCTACCCACTAATCACTACCGAAGAAAGAACTGTACGCTATAATCCGTTATGTTTTAGGTGTTAAGACATTGGAACTTTACGATGAGAAGATTGGCGAGAAAATTTATAGAATTAATCACAATAAAAGCATTATATATAGCCATTTAGTCACCTAAATTGGTATTTTAGAGCAATAAAAGCTTTTGGATTTCTGAAACAGCTCACTATTTACGATCATAAATTATGAGAGTGATTTCATCAGAATTTGGTAACATACCTGAAAAATTATGTTTACATGCGCAATTATATCCAACATGAGTATTAGTACAAGTTCCCATAGGGCCACACGGTGTTAATATACCACAATGATCAATTTTGTTACATTCATCACCAGACCATCCTAGTTTTTCAGATTAGAAAAAAAGTGAAAACCAATTCACGAAATTCCATGAAACCAAAAAGTTTCACTGATTGACGATGACTTTGTTAGGGGTTGACAACTGATAAACGAATTTGTCTTATGATTGTCTAAGAGTAGAAATAATTGCTTATACAGTTTTCAGCAATTTAGATAAGTGTAAAAAACTATTCGACCAGTTTAATGTTTTCTCTTGGTTACAGAATTGTCATACATTATATTAGTAGAATAACATGATCAGAGCAACCGTTCGTATAGATTAAGATCAATCTGGATGCAATAATAAGCCTATACGTAAACACCTCTATAAACTTAGCCCTAAAAAAATGGTCGCTTAAAAATTCTTACAAAGCATAGATCATAATATCCACTCCAACGCAATGAAAAGTGTGAAAAGTGGCCCATACCTTAAGTGTCTCAAAGTTATTTAGTGATCTTATATTTGTAAACAATGGCATTGCCATAAGTACTATTACATTTATCACTTAAGTCGTCTATTTCAAATGAGGTCACTCTTAATAAAAACATGGAATTTACTTTGTTTGCGTAATTCCGTATCTATTGACTGCTATGAAAACAACTGTTCAACAGGCACCTTATTATATCAGCACTAGAAAACTTCGATAAGTGGAGTAATTTTGCCATTGGCCCTTAAAAAGAGGAAAGGAAAAATCAAGCTTATGTACAACACGTCCTGTCAATGAAATCACAAAAAAGCCTAACTTAAAGATCGGCCGTAACTATTTAAATAGTTAGGTTTTACCAAGACAATAGGTCAGAAACGTTTTAGCAGCCATTTATCTCAAAGGTCTAAAACGTCTACTTTTTTGAATAAATCTTACTAAAGGCTAAGACATTGTATAACACAGTGCCTATTCTAAATTTAAACTACTTCAAGTGAATTCAGAGTTTAGAAACAGAGTAGAGAATCAAAACCTTTCTTAGCAGCAATAAGACGTTTACTTAAGTTGGTATGGTCTTAAGTGGTAAGGCTTTAGATGCAAACGATACTAAGTCCGTACAATATTCAAACCGGACAGGTAACTATAAGGCCTAATTAGCTGCTTGATCGGAGAATGAAAACTTCTTTTCCTGGGTGGCATCTGTTGACCAAAACCGAAAACAAACTGTGGAGATATCATTAACAGTATATGCTTCGGATAAATTAGCGAGTTAAAATTAAAAATAATACCGACATTTCAGAGCAAATTCTAAAGTTTGTTTCACCTGTGAATAAGATAGTGTGAAGATGAGATATTCTTAAACTCTAGGGTCCAATTTTATCAAATAACATAAATATCTAGGGGTCGTATCAGATATTTTGAGGAAATCTACGTGAAGACTTGAATGCATGTTATCTATTAGATCCTATTAACATCTACTTGTTCACTTGTAAGCTTCAGTCACTTCAGAGTTATCAGAGGTTTGAGAACCTCTTGGAGGTGTAACATTGTTAAACATGATTTAACAAGCCTTGATAAAAACATGAATGTTCTTTGATAAAATCAGAGCTCCTAAAAGTAAATTTATACTGATACTAATATTTAAATAAGTCAAGAATCTTCTTACAATACCTTCGGGGCTAAGTAGAATGGTGATCCGAGAATAATTAGAATATGACATAAAATTGTTGACCCTTGAAAGTTCTCACAGTCGTAGTTTTTGAATGAAGCTGATACAGGCATCAAAAATTTCCAGGATAGCTTCTAGGTGGTTATCAAAGTTTTCTCAAAGGCAATATATCGTCATAGGTAAACATCTTTTTAGGCAAGCCTGATTAAGATACATGACCTATTAAGAAATCGCAACCAAGAACAGAATATTCTATGACGTTTCGGGGTTAAAACTCTACTGATAATTTACCCAAACTAGTATTGAATGGAATCAATAAAATTTTAAACACTGATCGATTCTGAAGAGAGCGTTTAAATTAATAATTCAATTATAGCATCTATGAAATTTCTTCACATAGACGAACTTACCAGGAATACACACCCTTGCGCCTGTTGAAATATCACAACCATAGTGCCGTATTCTTTGTTGCGGAACGCAGCTGACGCTACAATCTTTTCCATAGCTGCCACGATTACAAACAGCCCAAACTGCTACATACATAGTTATATATCCTTGTGTTATATTTCGAGATATTTTATGATGATGATAAGTATAAAAAAGTGATGAACCACCAGTTTCAAATGGAAACACAGTATACGTGTACGCGTTATCTTCAAATGTTGTCAAATGGTCATCTAAATCAGAAAAAGAATAATCCGCATCCCAAACTTCGATCTTCATGTACAATTTGGACTGCAAGTTGTTTAATCAAAATATACGCATGTTACCGGAAGCTTATTTACTATTCTGGACAGCGGGTTTGGTACATAGTCTATGAAATCGCCAAAAGAGATAGAATTCTGGTTCATTAAGGAAGATTTCGGTGTTCTCATATCTAAAATGCTGCACCCTCTATTTTTTATTTCAAGAAAACTAATAAAAATGAAGGTTACCTCGAGTTTTGATCACCTACACAAAGTTTAAAGTACAAATCACAGTAATCTGGTCTTGAGAAAGAGTTGCAATGTCCACTTGACGAACTCACTGTAATGTTAATAAATTTGAAATATAATGTTGCATATCCGTCTACTTTCAGCGCATTTTGGAAGTCTAAAATTAAGGTTAAATGTAAAAACTTCCTTACTAAATGACAATAAAATAACCAGAGACACTAAATACCCAATATCCATAAACTAGCGATATTATATAACAACTTGCAAACCTAGCGCTTCCATAAATTGTTACTATTAGTTGGTATAAACTTCAGTAATAAGGATAGTAGGTTGATGAACCTGTGTTAATCCTGACAGATTTCCTTCCAGTGAAGGTCCAGCTTCTTTTTGAAAATGTTCACTGATGGTGCTGATACCACTTGTTCTGATAATGCGTTGCAGTCATTGACCACTCGATGGGAAAAACGGGACCCCACCTTTAGTTTATTAGATCGCGGTTTCACAACCTTCTTGCTATGACCCCGGAGATTATTAGTGCTGGAGGGAGCAAAAAGATAAGACATATTAACACCCAGATCATAATTAAAGATACGAAATGCCAGTATAAGGCCATCTCGCGTCCTACGATAAGATAAGGGGAAAAGATTTAGACGTTTTAAACGCTCAACGTAAGGGAGTTTAGAAAGACCCTTTACTAATTTTGTCCCTACACGCTGGACACGCTCAAGCGATTCAGTATCCTCTATCAGACAAGGGCTAGCTGCTTGGATACAGTATTCTAAGTGTGGCCTTACATAGGTGGGATATAAAATTCAAAACATCTCCTCGTCAAAGCATTTAAATGCTCTGCGAAGCGACCATAGCGCGCGAAAGCCTTTAGAAGCAACCGCATTGCAGTGCGTAGTAGTTTTTAAGTCGTGACTTATAATTACTCCTAAGTCTTTGTGCTCATGAACGCGTGGCAGAGATGTACCGTTAATGGTATAATGGTAACTAATATCGTGCCCGATGTGCATGAACACGCTCTTCCTGGAATTAACTTCCAGGCGCCAATCATGAGCCCACCTAACTAATTCGTCTAAATCTGCTTGTAGATAACAACGATCAGTCTCATTTCTTATTGTTCTCCAGATTTTAACATCGTCCGCAAAAAATAACATCGACGACTTAAGTAATAAAGGTAGTTCATTAATATACAGAAGGAAAAGTAGAGGGCCTAAGATGGTGCCTTGGAGTACACCACTTTTGACCGGTTTCCATTCGGATAGCGTTCCATTGATCCTCACTCTCTGTCTACGGTCACATAAGAAGCTTCCTATCCATTCCTGTATAGCACCTGTTATTCCAAAGCTCGAGAGCTTTTGCATAAGACCTAAGTGTGAAACCTTATCAAACGCTTTGCTAAAATCTATGAATATCACGTCGACAGACTGACCGTTGTCTAGGGCAGCTGTCCAATCCTATCTCGCAATGAGTAAGTTAGTTAAGCATGAACGCTTGTTACGAAACCCATGTTGCTCGGGAGTTAACAGATTATACGAATCTATGTGGCTCAGTAGCTTAGCCCAAATTAGTTTTTCAAGTAACTTAACTACTATACTGGTCAGGCTAACAGGCCGGTAGTTAGATACGATCCGTCTCTGACCATCCTTAAATATAGGACTAACTATGGCGTCTTTCCAGTCTCTAGGTAGTTGAGCCTGTGAAAGGGACATGTTGAAGAGCATCGTGAGCGGTCTTGAGATAATGTCCGCAAGCGACGACAGTAAACGTAGGTGTAACCCATCGGGACCCGGCATCTTACAAGGTTTTAGGCTAGTTATCAAAGGAAGAAAAATATCCTCTGTCACATGTAAAGGTCCTATGGCTGGTATCTCATTGTTAACGGGACAAGTAGTTGGAACACTACACATAAAGTAGACTTCACTGAAATAGTTAGCAAATGTCTCAGCTTTCGATAGATCAGATTCAGCCAATAAATCTGAATTTTCGCTTAACAGTAATGAGGGGATACCATCACTACGTTTCGTCCGCCTTTTAACATACGAAAACAGTCGCTTCGGACAGGTACGGCTATCGCATGCCAACTGTCGTTCGTAAGCGGTACGAGATTTAGCTATGGTCTTTTTATATATATTCCGGGTTTTTTATATTCGCACTTAAATGATACCTGACCTGTTGACAAGAGTAAGTCCTAGAAGTGTTTCCTACGCTTCAACAGCTTCCGGGTTTCCTTATTAATCCATGGAGGGCAATGTGATAGCTTACGTGCTGACCATGGGATAAACGGTTGAGTTACGGATTCGAACGTAGACTTAAACCTATTCCATGCATCATCAATCGATCCATCAGCATCGACCGACCAGTCAATTGAGATAGCATAGTCACTTATTGCCGGAATATTAGCTCTCCAGATATTAGGACGGGGTGAAGCAGATGCAAATTCTATACCATGTATCCTGAGCTTATAGTCTATATGCTTCGGCTTGACGATACATTGTACAAGTGCACATTGAATAATTGATGACAGAAGGATGCTATCGAAACCCCCACCTGGAGCTGTGAGCTCTATCCAGTTAATATGGGGTGCATTGAAGTCTCCAACGATGAGACAACATTCTGCTTTACTCCAAGAACAGACGTGTTTTAGGATAAAGTCGTCAGCGAGACAACACGGACTACGATATATTCCTCCTATCGCCACTAACCCGTTTCTAGACCTAATTGTACAACATACTACCTCACACGTACCACTTACATGCGCCTCCGATATGATCGAGTGTATGCGGAAGTGGTCCCTAATATAAAATATCATGCCTCCTCCCTACGACTTCTAACTCTATCACTTCTGATACAGATGTAGCCTGAAATGACTGGAGAACAGTTTATATCTACAGTGAGCCAAGTTTCGGTGATAACAATTATATCCGGATTTAAGTCGTCTACCATCAAACTTAGTTCAGACATCTTATTCCGAAGACTACGAGCATTCGTATAACACACATTTAGGGTGTTTTTGGAGACATGCGTTCTACCCACACAGGACTCGGAAGCATTGGCTTCCAAGACCTGACTACCCGAAAACCCTTAATCGTAAGGTTTGCTTCACCGTTTAGCCTTCGAGTTTTTAACTCTGTTAGGGCATTTTTCCACTTGATCCGATCCTCAAGTGGCCAGTCAGGTCGAATACGAATGTTTGAGTCACGAGTTTTGCATGCATTATTTAGTAATACGTCCCTTTCCTCAAAATTACCGAGTACTAATTTAAGGATCCTTCTCTGTTGGGTTTCGCCTCCAACATACTTACCAAGTCTGATGACTTTCGAGATATGTACCCCTGGGACCTCCTCTGGCGGTATATTTCTGATGAGAGATCCCACTAACTGCAGGTCGTGAGCATGTCTCTTAGCGGGTTCGGTGTCTTTTGATTCTGCTAAGTTCCAGACGATTACACTAGGCACCTGTTTAACTTCCTTAAAAGTCGTGTTCGCGGCCTTTGACCGTGATGTCAGATCCTGCCGGTTAGCTACCGGCTTCTTACTGTTAGCTTTCTTTATAACAGTGTCATCTTAAACGAACCGGTTTGATTCCACTTGCAGGACGAGGATAACTATTTTTTCGCAAACAACATAAATGCAGTTTGCATCATCTTAAACTTCATTCTCTTTTCATTTATTTGACTAGTACTGTGAATAAGCTCATAATTTCGTTCCATTCATATTTAGCCATCAATATTTGTCTTCTGCTAAGAAGCCACTGTAACGCACATGTAGTAGTAAGTAAATCTACAAAGCGATTAGTTTGGTAAGTCTTCCTTGGTACACTCCTCTCTGAAGGGACTCCGTCAACCGTCCTCACCAGATCACGTTCGGATAAGCCGTGTTACAAATCTCTCATGAAAACTAGTCACTGTAGATTTCAGTCATTTCGACAAATCGGTCACAATTCAAACATGTGTAGTGGTATCGGTTCTAACCACATGAGATATATGGGAAAATAGATATTCAACATTTAACACGTAGAGGAGGCCAACAGTTGTGAGTACGACAGTATTTGTGCATTCCACAGGATAGCATGGATCAACCTCACAGATGTAGTCATTCTGTATGAATTGTTTTTATTCATATCAAATATATTAACCTATCTTCAGCATAAATGTGTTCTTCAGAGGTACTGAGTATCATGTAGTTAATTGCTACGATACGATGAGTCAATGTCGGCAGTGATGTGATTTCCACGTAAGATCTTACATATTAGGCAGTTACATCATGACATCTGCATTTTCAGACTAGGTCTATAATTATAATCGCACTAATAACGAAGTAGACCATAATTCTAGACATACCACTAAATTTGTTCTATCTCGACCTCTGGTTTGATAGGTTTTGTAATATTCATATTATAAGAAGTTCTAGAATATAGCGTTAGTTAGCATCGCTTATCCGTGACGTCCTTTTGTCCAAAGTTGCCGGATGAGAAATGCGAAGAACGTAAACGTTAGGACTCGGGATGACATTCTCAGCTAAGTTAACGCTCTCACATGCCACATTTATCCGCTGGATGATCATACACAGATTCTTTGTTTAAAAGCCAATGCACTACAGACCCACGGATACAAACTCTATCCACACTAGTGTTCGCAAATCTACAAATAATTCTACATCACCATTAGCGTGTGATGTCGTTGGTCTTGCCACTCAGTTACAGTAGTCCTGGATATGTCGACAGGGAGTTTGAGTTTGGTATGGAATGCTGATGCTTGGAGAATTAATATATATATATATAAAGAGAGAGATTGTGTGGTGACGTTTCTCGCTCCGTTATTCAGTGCTACTAATGAAAAATGATAGTCTTTGATCATATATGTTATTTTCAGCATTTTCTGAGATTGAAATGAATACGTCAACTGGTAGAGTTTTCCGTGATTCATACACTGTCCAAAAGAAGGCTCTTATCTTGTAAAGTGTACATACATGCCCACGTGAGTGTTTTCTTATAAGGAAAAACAAGAAAAATACAAACGAAATGTGACTAATGAGTAATTTTTCCACCTCAAAAACGTGTCACTAATACAGTGCCCTCTTTGTTATGAAGAAGCACCAACTAGCATATAGAAAACGATTCTGAGAACGTGAGTTTATTTAGAAGCTAAACGATTCAAGAATACCATACATAAACCAACCTAAACAATTACAATGACACTTATGACTTTCCAAAACAATATATTTTAAAATGACAAATGGAAACTCCATGTACGTAAATTCAAATCCAATAATCACTAATGAACGCCATTAACTTTACTGCAACTTATCAGAACCTATTCGTATTTCGATTTTTGTCATTATGTTCCGTCGGCACTTAAGATCAATTTGTGCCATATTATACAATACTTATCTGCACGATTTATTCCGCTGGTACAAGCAATAAACGACTTATTACACTGTTTTCATAGCATTTCGAATAGCTTATATGAATACATTATTTCATCGTCCAAACTATAACGACATGAACGCATGTTATTTTTCTGTACTCTAATTAATTTACTCATATTCTCAAACAAACACTTCTATTTTTATCCGCGTCTTTACGATATTCGTATACATTCTTTTACATAAGTATGACGCCTTCACATAACGTATTTACTCCTCACATCACACTACACTCTATTAGACGCATTTCAATTTTCTCGATACTTGTTGTTAGCGTTAGAAATATAACACTTCTGTGTTACTTTCGAAATTAGATGTCTTTCCAAGTAAACGTGCCATTTACTACGAGAGACTTTGTAGTTGCTGGAGCTATTTCAAGCCCATATATGTTATTCTGACCGCTGGACAAACCAATTCGTTTATTATCCTCAAGCCACATTTCGACTGTAGTCGGATACAGAGACAGTGAAGGTGGTTGGCCCATTGATAAAATCATCTCCCGATACAACTGACGTCAAGAAAAAGGGCCACCAAAAGGTTTGTCATACTGATGATTGGTGTTTGTTTAATCCACAGAGATGCTGCAGGACCAATGAGTTCTTGTTAACTTGTGAGAATCCACTTCAGACCATTCTAACTTGATACCCAATAGGGTCAAGAAATTCAAGTCGCACAAAATTCCTTACTCATATCTGGCCTGCGCCCATGGAAATTATTTCAACAACCTATGGGAAAAAACCAAAAAATAGAAGTTCGGCACAATAGCCTGGGATGCACACATACTTTCTACTCTGTATGAGAAGTCGAGCCAATGAATTCACCACAGGCTGTAGGGGTCACATAACTGTCCTAGAACCCTTCAGAAGGAAACTTACTAAATTCTGAAAGACTCAAAACAGTATATCATACCAATTTTCGGATATTTCCTTGACATTCGCTTTCCCTATATACCTAGGCCTTTATCCAGAGCCACGGGGGATTTGTTGTCACAAAAAACCGCAGCTGTTAAAGCAAATGGTTTATGGACTTCCTCCACAACATTTCGAACCATTCTGAACCACATGAGCCAAATGACCAGGACTTGGGTTCAGTTTTATTCGTTTCACAGCCAATTTTAAAAGAAAGAAAGATGAAATGATCAGCCTTACGATATTAGAGGTGTTCCCTTGGACCGCATTGAAATAGAAGAGGTACCTACGATACCACGCAGGTAAATATCCATATCGTTTTCATGGTTGTGATGTTTGTTGAACTCACTGTCTAGTTGATTTTTGAATGTAATCAGATGCATGTAGACGCTTATCTATTTAGAAGCCAATGGAAACAATGGTTCAGAGGAGTTAGTTATATAAGTTTTTTTTAAAAAGTTTTTCATCTAATTACTCCGAATATTTAATAATGTCTATGCCTTCAGCTTCTGAGAACTTCAAACAAGAAGTGCACCTACCAGCAACCCATAAGGCTTTTTCACAGCATGGATGTGGAACAAAACAGAAAAGTAATTAACTTCACTCCCCTTTAGAAAACGTTTGAAGCTTCAAGATATTGGATATGTGATTGCCTTGGTTAGGCGTCACCGCGCATTTCAAGGTTCCAATGAGTTATGGCAACCTCAGTATCGTACAGAAGATGTGTTAATTGGTAACATTTTCTTTATTATTGCTATTTGTTAGTAAGGAAAACATAATTAAGTCGAACTTCGATATACACGAGGCATTTTGCTGTCGAAACGTGACAACGTGCCCAGATTGTGGTGTCAGCCTTCTGAGGACACAGTTATTGGAGCATCACCTGGATAAACATAGTCAAATTAAGTGTACCTACTGTGAATCTTTATTTAAAGAGTCCAGTGTTTTGGAACATGAAGTATGTGTTTGAATAATAACCTATTCATATTAGCTTATATGCCCTAGACGACTAGTGGAGTGTGTTTTCTGTAACTTGGAGGTGACCATAGACCTATTAGATGACCACGAGTCAACATGTGGTGCCAGGACGGAGCGCTGCTCAGATTGTGGGAACTTTGTGATGCTTAAAGACCTTAAAACTCATCGATGTAAGGAACCCATAGGTAGTCGTGAATAATAGACTAATAAAATTTTTTAGAATGTCTTACAAACTTACAGAATGTATGCATATTTCAAATATAGTACTTATCTTTCAGGATCTCGAGAAAGACTTCCGTGTGGCGTTGAACTTGCAATATGAAGATTGCATTCAAAATGTACATTCTGCAACATTTCAGAAACATGTAGAAAGTCAGAATGACAGCTCACGTCATAAAACAATAGTTGGGAGGTCGTCAAATGAGAATGTCGTGCAAGTTTGACATTTTGTGATTGCCTAAATAGTGTGTAAAGATATTGGTTATTCGAAAAATTAGTTCATTAGTACATTCGTTATGTCGCTACATATGTATAGTAAGAGCGCCCCGATTAGCGTATAAACCTTTTGGTGTATTTTCTGCAAACTGCAGTCTCAAGCCACGGTATTCTGAATTAACAGAAGTATGAGTCTTTTCATAGTCAAAAGTTTGATATCATTTGTGTTTAAGTGCTATGTCTTGCTACTTATAATATAGGATTGAATGAACAAGTTAGTAACATGTGGTTGCAAACATGTATTCTACCCCGTTCCATTAGTGGGATAACATCAGAAGTGTCAGTTTCGAAATTAAACCTATAATTTATAAATCATGGCTAAAAGTGGAGTGCAGGATGCTTTTTTGCCCTCATGGACTTGTCGGCCGGGTGTACCTGCTTCATAGTGTTTATATTCTTACTGGTACTAGACCACAATCTTGTTGGTCCTCAGCAGGAGCTTCAGTCGATCATGTTTAGCGTAGAACCTGGCACACGTGTACATTGGTCCAAGTTGCCACGGCCCATTAACATAGCGAGATAAGATTGTTAAGGTTAATAGCAAACAGTAGTAGAGGTAGTAACTGTATTAGGGATAACAGAAAAGATTAGGCGTCAAAGCTAAGATTCCAGAGAAAAATATAGATTAGTGGAATAAGAAAACAAAATAATTTAGGTACTTATGAAACCTAGGATGTCAGGGAATATAAGGAGTGAAGTCACCTCTTCCATTACTAAAGATTTCGAGCCATATCACCTGAAATCTCTAACCATTGTTTATAATGATCATCCGGGCCCCAACCAGAAGATCTTCAGCTACCTGTATGACTCACTTCAACAGTCAGTGCAAGTGTAGTCGATAAACTGGTAGAGTCTTAACTTTACGTCATACTTTTAAGGCCCGGTTTATTTTGGATCTTGTTACATGTTACTGACTTACCGAAATCTTATTCGTTTTTCTTGTCTTAGGGATGAATGGGAGTCAAATTCAATGATACCATGTGAAATTTGTTATTCCTGCTATTCCATAGATATGATTGATGAACATCAAGTATGTCTTTTGTTCCCATGCAAATTGTTTTGTAATTTTTAGTTGAGGTTTGAGTGTACATTAAGTTTCTTCTGTGAATTACTGCGAAATATGTGTTATTTTTTGGTTGTTTATGACGGGGTCACACAGAATAAAGACAGGGATAAACAACTTGGTCTCTGGCAAAAATATATTTCAATCCAAGTCGGCACGTTTCTGATTCTCCAAGTTGCCATCATACTAACAACATGGTTACGATAATTGCGTAATAAGCTCAGGCAGTACCTGTCTACTCCAAGTAACGTATCACATCAGTATGTTAAAATCGTCGAATAGTCTCCAAAAGACAAGATACATTTCTTAATTGCTGGTCTAAGTTGTGCTGAGGTTTCGAGGCCTGAGCTATCTATATTCCGATAAACAGACTAAAATGAAGTATGTTAACCATCTAATTTGAATGTAGTGTCTTAATGGTCTCATCCTCACCACGAAGTTTGAGTCTACACAGCCGTAGTTCACAGTGTTAAGGAGTCCTGAAATTATAATGAAACGGATACTTAGTTCTCCAGATGGTATCATTTTATGATAAAAGTCACCATGAAGTTATGGGGAAAGATTTGTTCTGATCTATGTTTTGGCGTTTACTCTGATGGATAAATACATTCGTGGTTTGCAATCAGAAACTGCATAGTAAACCTCAAATATTATTAAAGTGTGTCTTTTTTTTAGGAGAATAGGGGTTTAAGATGTTCAAACTTCTATAATTGAACCACAGGTTTGAACCTCTGTCCAACGATTTTGGCTTGAACAAGTGGATAACACTACTTTCCTTCATTACTCTAGTGTGTTTCATACCACAATAAACAAATATATACTTGTGAGATAAGTTACATCGGTCATAGTTTCCTTCAGTTTTATAACTGCATAATATTGTATTTTTATTGGTAATAAATAAATAAGTTGTTATAAATGTTTACTATAGGTTTTGTGTTTAATTGAAAATGATCCATTGATGTCGTCAACAGAAGAAAAGACAAATGAACCCAAGGATCCATGTAATGAATTAACTACAAATTCAAAAATAACACCAAGCTCTTGTAGCATTTCACAAGCATCTGGATCCAGTACTGTCTCATCAAGTTAGTGGTTGTTCTAGTTGATTTTTAAAATATTTTCAGTTTAACATTACAAAACATGTTACGTTACTGTCCAAACCGTTATATATATAATTTTTGATGTGAAGTTTGTCTTACTGTAGGCATAAGTCGTTTAGTGTGAAATGTGAAACATTTGTGCTAAGAAAAAAATTAATGCATATGGATATGGATCTGTTCTTATATATGTATATGGATCTAATTTAAGAAAAAAATTATCGATCATTTATGGCCTTAGATTGTGGAATTACATAATTCTGTGTAGATGTATATATCGATTATGAGATGTCGCACAATTGTTTATTTAAGTCTCCATAGTGACCGTCAGTAGGTGGTATTTTCATGTTTTAGTTTTTCCAAACTAGGTTTCTTTTATCACAAACTTTAGTATTTGGCAAAACTGTTAGTTATGCTTAAAAATCAACGTTACATCGTGTTTGAACATGATAGAAAAGGAACTTAACGACTACAGTTTATATTTTATTATATTATACATATATTGTGGATAGACCACTTATGTAAGTGGTTAAACGACTGTACTGATGTATTTGGTTTCGTCTATTAAAAATATATATGTACATTTAGAACACTAACTGTGATTTGTAAATACATTTCATTGAAGGCTAACACCAACTAAAAGAATAATTGGGAGTGAACGGTTATTGCGACAGTGAATCTTCATTGACTGAGGCAATGGGGGAATATATTACATGTCCGTAATAACCGCATACCCCGACGAGTAGTTATATATTGGAATAAAGCTGGGGGCAGCCAAATTAAGATGTGATATTGACCCATGAATTCGTAGACTGTTAGACTGATCCATGAGGATAAGTTTTTATTATCCAGTTGGGGTGACATTGTTTAGAATCGGTGGTAATGGCACTGATTCATTTATTTTTTCCCTCCCGTTAGTTCTTGAGTTTTAAAATGATCTTATTCTTTTTATTTCGCAGATTCCTCCTTTTTTCCCAAATCATACTATAAATATCTAGTCTTCTCTACTACCTTTGATACTTTTACTACTTATTCAACTTTGGTTTTTGGCTTTAAAATTTCACCCAAATGCGTTGATATGGTGTAGGAACTTCAACTGCCACATGTGTTCCAGGTTATACATTGCTTTTGAGTATTTCAGTAACCAATTCCATGTATAGATGAAATATTGCTCCCTAAATATGTCATCGGTTCTCTAGTCAGCGTCATTTAACTGTATAAATTACTATTCCATTTAGGTGTACGAAAAATAAAGTAATTATTCTACTTATGACATGAAGCACTTGACACAGTTGTATAAGCAATGCACTGAACAAAGAGAAATAGCAATATTATGAAGGAATAGAAGAGAATAAAACTTTGGAAATGAAGGATTAAGAATCAGTAGAAATCCCATGTAAGTGAAACACGACAAAGTTAGGTTTTTTCAGTCTAAATGCTGATCGTGCTGTTTACAGCAGGATTCCCACTGGTTTCCATCCAGACTTGTCTGTAAAGGTCTCCTGCTACTGATTACAAATCAGGTTCTTTCTAAAGAGTCAAGATGGAACATCAGATACTAATACAACACGGATATTCTTGACTTTACTGCACTTTAAGGTAAACTGACTTCCACACTTCGTTTTCCACAATTTCCCGGCGTCGTCAAGTAACTGATTCACACTATGACTTCATTTTCAAAACTTAATACTATTAGTTTTTAACTACTCATGTTTGTTCAGTAGTATATTGCGCTACGCTTATATTGATACACACTAGTCTGACCAAAGATCATGCCAAGTTAAACGTTGTTTAAGCTTAGGCTCTGTCAATAATCCATGATTTTAGCGCCTGAGAGAGAAAATCATGGGTTTTGTGCTCGTTATTTTCCAAATGTCGGAAAATATAAATCAATGAATCTGTTTACAATGTATCGAATTATTTTTATAGGTGTTTGTTGAAATTGTTAAATTTCTTATTTTATATCATTTAACCAATAGGATTCAAACTTATCGAACATAAGACAAGTATTATTGACGGGATTAGATGATAGTCATACAGCATCGCAAATTAAGTGAAGCTAGATATGTAAATCACTGGGTGTCGCATCAGTGATCCAAAGGTTAGGCTCTCGTCGTAAATCCTGACGGTGCTGGGTCCGATCCTTAGGGGGTTGCACTACTGAGGTGGAGTCCCATATTAAGACAAAACAGCTGTCCAGTGCTTTCTGGTTTTTAACAGTTGTCTTTGATATAAACTAAGATGTATCTAACTTACTTACTTACTTACTTACGCCTGTTACTCCCAATGGAGCATAGGCCGCCGACCAGCTTTCTCCAACCCACTCTGTCCTGGGCTTCCTTTTCTAGTTCTATCCAGTTCTTGTTCATTCTTCTCATGTCTGTCTCAATTTCTCGGCGTAATGTGTTCTTTGGTCTCCCTCTTCTCCTTTGACCTTCAGGATTCCATGTGAGGGCTTGTCTTGTGACGCAATCAGGTGATTTCCTTAAGGTGTGCCCAATCCACTTCCAGCGCTTCTTCCTGATTTCTTCCTCTGCTGGAATCTGGTTTGTTCTCTCCCACAGTAACTTGTTGCTGATAGTGTCTGGCCATCGGATCCGAAGTATCTTGCGTAGACAACTGTTAATAAACACTTGTATCTTCTGGATGGTGGCTTTCGTAGTTCTCCACGTCTCCGCCCCATACAGTAGGACTGTCTTGACATTTGTATTGAAAATTCTAACCTTGGTGTTGGTTGACAATTGTTTTGAGCTCCAGATGTTTTTCAGTTGTAAATATGCTGCTCTTGCTTTGCCGATCCTTGCCCTCACATCTGCATCTGATCCACCGTGTTCATCGATGATGCTGCCCAGATATGTAAAGGTTTCCACATCCTCCAAAGCTTCTCCGTCAAGTGTAATTTGATTGGTGCATATTGTATTGTAGCGGAGAGTCTTGCTTTTCTCTTTGTTTATATTGAGACCTACTGCTGCTGAGGCTGCTGCTACACTGGTCGTCATCTCCTGCATTTGTTGTTGCGTTTGTGATAGAAGAGCCAGATCATCCGCGAAGTCTAAATCATCAAGCTGCATCCTGCCTGTCCACTGTATCCCGTGATTTCCTCCAGATGTTGACGTCTTCATGATCCAGTCGATGACCAGGAGAAAGAGAAAGGGTGAGAGTAAGCAACCTTGCCTTACACCAGTCTTTACTTTAAACGACTCGGTGAGTTGTCCTCCGTGGACGATTTGGCAGTTTAGTCCATCATAGGAGTTCCGTATGATATTGACTATCTTCTCAGGCACGCCGTAGTGTCGAAGAAGCCTCCATAGTGTCGTCCTGTCCACGCTATCAAATGCCTTCTCGTAGTCGATGAAGTTGATGTACAGTGATGAATTCCATTCGATTGATTGTTCCACAATGATCCGCAGAGTTGCGATTTGATCTGTGCACGATCTATCCTTACGAAATCCAGCTTGTTGATCTCGAAGTTGGGCGTCCACTGAATCCTTCATCCTGTTTAACAATACTCGGTTGAAGACTTTTCCTGGTATTGAGAGGAGAGTGATGTCCCTGTAGTTATCACACTTGCTGAGATCGCCTTTCTTTGGTATCTTGATCAGAAGTCCTTGTTTCCACTCTGTTGGTACTTGTTCTTCGTCCCAAATCTTACCGAAGAGAATGTGGAGTATCTTTGCAGTTACTGCCACATCTGCTTTCAGTGCCTCTGCTGGGATGTTGTCTGGTCCCGCTGCTTTGTCGCCCTTGATTTGTTTGATGGCCATGCTGATCTCTTCAATTGGTTGTGGGCTAACATTGATTGGGAGGTCCATGGGTGCTGCTTCGATGTTGGGTGGGTTCAGTGGAGCTGGTCGATTCAAGAGTTCTTCGAAGTGTTCTACCCACCTGTTTCGTTGTTCTTCAATGTCGGTGATTACTTTGCCTTCCTTGTTTTTCACTGGTCTTTCTGACTTACGGTAATTTCCAGCAAGTTTCTTTGTTGTATCATACAGTTGTCTCATGTTTCCCTCTCTTGCAGCCTTTTCCGCTGTCATCGCTAAATCTTCCACATATTTACGTTTGTCGGTTCTGATGCTCCTCTTCACTTGCTTGTTTGCCTCTGTGTATTCGGCTTGTGCCTTGGCTTTTTCCGCTCTGGTTCGGCTGATATTGATTGCTGCCTTCTTGTTCCTCCTTGCTTCAATCTTATCCAGTGTACCAACAGTGATCCATTCCTTGTGATGATGCTTCTTGTAACCCAGAACCTCTTGACATGTTGAAACGATTGCCTCCTTGATACCTTTCCAGTTGCTCTCCATAGTAGTCCCCTCTCCTTTGAGTAGATCATAAAAGGTCTCGAACCTGTTGCTGAGGGCTATGTTGAATTTGTTGAGTTCGTCAACATCTCGAAGAAAAGCCGTATTAAACTTTTGTGATGTTATCCGCGCCGTTGTCCACTGCTTCTTGAGTTTTAGTTTCATCTTGGCGACCAGCAAATGATGATCGGATGCTATATCAGCCCCTCTTCTGGTTCTCACATCCTCCATCGTCCTCCTGAACGTTTTGTTGATGCAGATATGGTCGATTTGATTCTGTGTAATGTGATCCGGTGAAATCCAAGTGGCTTTGTGTATGTTTTTGTGTGGGAATATGGTGCCACCTATGACCAGTTTATTGAAGGCACATAGGTTTGCAAATCTCTCACCATTTTCGTTCCTTTCTCCCAGTCCATGTTGTCCCATGACGTCTTCATATCCAGTGTTATCCATTCCAACCTTAGCATTGAGATCTCCCATCAGAATTGTCAGGTCCTTGGTTGGGCACTTCTCGACGATCGACTGCAGCCTATCGTAGAATTGGTCTTTAGCGTCTTCATCGTAGTCATTGGTAGGCGCATAGCATTGGATGACGTTCATTGTAATGCCCTCTCTCTTTGTTCTGAAGGAGGCTTTGATGATCCTTGGTCCATGAGATTCCCATCCTATAAGTGCATTTTGTGCTTTTCTGGACAGTATCAATGCAACTCCTTGTGTATGTGGGGCATTTTCTTCTTCATGACCGGAGTATAACAGAAGTTCTCCTGAAGACAGTCGTTGTTGTCCGACCTGCGTCCAATGTGTTTCGCTGATTCCAAGAACCTCCAGGTTGTATTTTCTCATTTCTGCAGCAATTTGGAAGACTCTTCCGGTCTCTCACATTGTTCGGACATTCCATGTACCTATAAAAATTGTCGCTCTGGTTGTAAGAAGGTGCATCGGCCTCATGACTTCCGAAGGAACTCGGCTTTCATCATGAGACGTCATTATTCCTTCTACTCCCAGGGCAGAGTTTGAATGGTTTGAATGATTTTTTCTGGTTAGCGTTTTTTTAGCGAGTTGATTTTCTACGGGATGGGGTCGCTAACCCCATGCCCAACCCTCCTCCTTTACCCGGGCTTGGGACCGGCAGTAACCCCCAGAGGAGCTACAGGCGGAGTTAAGATGTATCTAACAGTTAACATTATAATGAGATTGATTCAATTTTTACTTATCACTTCACTATTGACTTTGATCATCTTTCTATAGGTTCGTTTCCTTTTCCTACTTTGATGTTATCGTCATTCCGTTTTTTTCATTGTGTATTGTAGAAGGGTGTTACTGATTAATTTAACGACCTTTTTCTAGGATTATATTCATAGTGCGGTAGCAGCTGTTTATTTCTAAATTGATGTAGGAATAAATATTTTTTGTAATTTTTATACGAAAACTTTAAATATAAGACTCAGTGATCAAATGTACATAGGATGCAAGTTGCTATGCCTCACATTAGCACGGTAATAGGGAGATCAACAAATGAAGATGAGTGACAGAGAAGCAATAATATACTTTTATGACATTCAGTTTTCCTTGTCTACACGAATTGGATGTTAATTTGCCTTAGACGAATATCTACACTAGATTCCCTTCCAGTGTCTATTCTATAAGACTTCAACACAACTCATATCAAGAACATGTGATTAGCCTGACTAGAACGGAGATATATTTCCACACCATAAACCGACAACAATCCAACAATAGTTAGTAATAATAATAATAAGGACAAGAGAATATATAACTCATCTAACGGCTGTCATACTATCTACAAGTCTGACTAAGCAAGCAACCGATCATTATCATTCTCTCCCACACATCATTTACAATTGATCAATCACCAATGTCATGTTTGTCAAGTTCATTAGTAATGACCGAATTCTGCAAAGCAACCACCTGTAATCAATCAATTGAAACTATTTCAGTCATACAAGTGATTAATTCGGACTTGAACAGCACAGTTTTACTGTCTCGAAATGTTAAGCTAGGTTATGAAAACTTGAATACCACTATGACAATCAATTCACTAAAGATTGCAGGTACCCCTTGCTATTAAGTGTCAGCTAGCAAAAAATCTAGGTCGAACAAGGTTTTCTGTCGAATACTTCTAACCATCTAACATAGGAATAAATCATTTCAAATCTTGTGGCAAACTAAACATACGGAATAATTTACGAAAGAATATGGTCCATGGTTAGGATGGAATAGCACAAAACTCAAAATTTGATGGATAATAGAATAAATACAGCTACGGCAAATTTGATTATTCAGCATATCATAGCCGACAGGGCTCACTTCAACAAGTAATGGTTTCTCTAATAAATGCTATATCTTCATATGATTGCCATTAGCTTTATTTGATGTCCTCCTTTGCCTGCGGTGTATGCTACTTATGTTGACAGATATAAGTAGCATATAGCACCAATCGGGTATAGGAAGCTTGCAAGCGGGGGATTGAGAAGACTGAAATCAAGAGGAGAGAGAGGAAAACTAAAAGCAATCGAGATAACAACAGGACTGAAGGGAGAATGAAGTTTGTCAGAAACAATTCAAAGGAGAAGTGCAAATGATGTTCTAAATGTATGGTTTTCACACTTTAATAAACCATAGAGGAATCACACTTCTATCGGTACCAGCAAAAGTTTTCAACTGAGTCTTGTTGAACCGCATGAAAGATTCAGTAGACGACCAAAACAGATTCTATCTGAGGAGGAAATTAGGAAAAGATGATAGAAGTGGATAGGACACACATTAAGGGAATCATCAAACTGCATCACGAGGCGAGCGCTTACCTGGAATCCTGAAGGAAAACGGAAGGCCGAAGGACAAACTACATCGAGAATCGTAAGCAGATATGAAAAGGATGCATATTAACTGGAAAGAACTGGGAAGGATTGCCCATGACAGAGTTAGATTGAGAATACTGGCGAGCGACCTATGTTCCTTCACGAGGGTTAACGGGTGTAAGTAAGTGTGATTTTGCATTAAATAATAAATCGGTCATCCCACCAAGTCTTCATTCACTACATGTCAACCAGTATCAAATGTCCAGGTAGGTGGGAGCTGGGCGTACATAACATATTTCAGCATTTTAGTCAATCAATTCTTTCTTAGTAATTGTCAACACATCATTTATGCTTAAGACGTTTGATCTAATCTCAGCATTACTTATCTGGTTTTTCAACCAAACGTGAATAAGGCTTTTAAGTCCTCTGTTATCAAATAATTAAAACGTTTGACTTACCAAATAAAAGTTTGAAAAACGGCTAATCCTAACCAAATAATAATCTTCCACTGATCACAAAAATCGAATAAATCTTTTGATTTCTAGAAATCTCAACATAGTGCACGCAGTGTCGAGCCACCTAGGCTAGTGGCCACATTGTAACTTGATCGATAGCATTCGATCAGCACTAAGAAAGACTTGACACGCATGACATTGATCGCCACCCAGTGATCAATCAAATGTGATTACATCTCAGTCCTACAGGAGGTCGGTCGCGGTCGTGGTAACGTCTCTGACTGTGAAGCTAAGTGACACGGGATCGAATCTGTCAGGGAGCGTCAGTTCCCTCAAGATTTCAGGTACACTTTTCTGGCGAGTGCCAAATAGCACGAAACACGGGTCCAAGGTTTTCCTGTCGACCACCTCCAGCCACTATATTATCAGAAATCAAGCTTTCAGGGTCGTTAGTCCAATAAGTTTCATGTCTTTATTTATTTTATAACATTCCTTCCTAATAATAACATACTACGAATACCTGGATTCTGTTAGGTTTTTTACCAATGACATTTATTCTCTTTGTTGAGGTGTATTAGATTTATGATTAACTTCATTGTGGAGTTCTTTATGGATTTAATTTCTTCACTCCTACTTACTAGGATCGCCAAGTTCACTAATACATCATAAATTAGAAATCATAATCTATACCATAACTAGGTGATTTGTAACACAAAACTGATTAGTATTTGATTGGTAGTAGTGTAGTGAATGAGAACGCGAGTGGGGATAATCGAATGTATTTAAGCACACAATTACAGACTATCTCACTAAAATCTGACAACCATACAATTAACGGTTAATTTGCAAACTATCAATCAGCTGACGAGTCCCAAATAGGACGAAACGCGCGTCCTGGATTCCACTGCTAGCCACTATCCATCTCTGCTATCAATCAATTGTTTGACTGTTCCTCCTGGAAATATCAGTCCATAGACTCCAATTATTATTGTTTATGCATTTCCATGTCAATTGCGCTTCGTTCTTGTCTTTCCTTATTGGTCCTCTGCCAAATACATTTAATGCCTGACTGTCACCATATACTACTTGTGTGAATATAAGTAACCCACACCATAGAAGTACAGGAGTAGTACATAATCCATTAATTGTAATTCATTAACTTTTTAGCTCACTAGTCAATGAATAAACACACGGTAAAAGTACAAATAGTGATTTCATTGTTCTGTCCCTTTTCTTCTCTTATTTATCTGAATCTAAAAGAATTATCATAGAAATGTTTGTCTACTTTACACTTCTTTATTCAGCCTATTTTATGACTGAAATCAAGATTTACTTGTATACATTAGTATTAAACCCTTTTCTTATATGCTTAAATTTTGTATAACTGATTATGATTTAAAATTTAATAAATGTACAGTAGGCCCCCCAAATGCCCTGGTAGGGCCGACAGTGAGGAGGACCCGCTCTCCCTCTCGAAATGCTCTCACACGGCTAAGCGTATACAGCCTCTTCCAGGGAAGTCCTGCTCACTGCCTTCTCGTTGCGTAGGTGTTGTTCACGAAAGTGAGAGGACGAAGAGCGAATGTTCGACGCTTTAACCGGGTTGGTGGACACGGAAAGTCCACCTAGGGGAGTTGGAAAATCCTGATTCCAAACCAATGGTGCACATGGGCTCCAGTATCCTGAAGGAAAAAATGACGTATGAACCAATTGTTGGTCACCGGCTACCATGGGATTGTATCTCCTCACGATGCTCCACTGCCTTGTGGATCAGACCTTTAGGTCAAAGGCTCCGGGTGTGGCCCTCTAAGAAAACCACCTGCTTCAGTTTGGGCACCTGGGCAGTATCATAGCCCTCACACAATTAAATGAAATGACAATTTTTTGTGTGGTGCATACATATCTGGTTCCCCCTTGTACCATTATTTATGTGTTCAAATAAATAAATAAATAAATAAACAGTAGGTCATATTAGATTACTGTATTGATCATTAAAATATAAGTTAAATTGTATCAGTTTACATCAGAAGGGGATTTGTTGAGAATTTAGTATTTTCATAGTTGAAATCATGAGTCAATTGAAGCTAGACCACTATGGAAAACCTGGAAGCATTGCTGAGGAGTCCCATAATAGGACGAGTTGGCCGTTCAGTCCTTCCAGGTTTTCTATGGTGGTCTAGCTTCAATTGATTCATGATTTCAACTATGTATCAGTTTAGTCATTTGTTAATCATTGATTGACTCTCTTATCTTTTCTAGTGATCAATTCTATAAAAGTACAATCGAATAAGTTTCCTTCTTCATTACAACAATTAAAATCAACCAATGGAAAATCGCCTCAATCTTCATCGTCATCATTAACAGTACCACAAAACAATACAGTCAATATCAAAACTTTGAATCATCGGCTTTGTCCTTCAAGAAGTAACAACAATAAAAGTGCTTCAGTTACTAATAAGAATCAGCATCCTTCGAAATCAGTGCATGATCCTTCTATGAACAAATCACTTCATTCAAATTCATTATTAAATTTACAAAAGAAGAAAAATTGTAATTCATTGAAAAAACAATAAAAAAATCATTCACTTAGTATTGTTTTGTTTGAATCTTCCCATTGATGTTTTAGGACTGCAGCTGGTCAGTCTCTAATTGGTATATGTGCATACTGTGCGTATTGCTGCGATATTGCCTTAAATTCACAAGTATTATAAGCAAAGACGGATAGTGGCTAGTAGTGAAATCCAGTTTGATGCGCGTTTCGTCCTATTTGGAACTCGTCAGCTGGATGTACCTGCATCTCAGAGTTGATGTTCACTCTGGGAAATCATTATTTGTCAATCCACAAGTACTACTTAAAACAAATCTAGTATATTTTTCTATTTATATATCAGATTTTCTTGATAGATTTCAATGAAGTGAAAAACAACAACAACAACAAGGCTTCTTGAATAAAAGAAATCCATTGTCTCATTTCAAAGCTTTATCTCATCACTGTCAAATAAACAGAAAGGGGTTTTGGGGATGCGCACTGCTGAGGAGTCCCACAGCAGGACGAAACGGCCGCCCAGTGCATCCAGGTTTTCTTTGGTGGTCTAGCTTAAATTGACTCATGCTTTCAACTTTCAAATAACTTAAAAGTTTAAGTAGTCGTATATTTCCAAACAAAGTTTTAATATTACTTAATCCTTGATGTTTCATTATGAGAAGTTGTGTATGGTGTAGTTAGGATATACCAGTAGTTGAATTGTTATCACCGATGATATTAGATGGTTGTTACTCTGTATTATAAATTAATTGAAATTGATATTGTACTATTGACAGATGACCGAATGCTTTTAATGGTGAAACTGTAAGGTCGTGAGTTCGACTCTTGATGAGATTGTGGGCGCCGAATCTTAGGCATTTGCATTCTAGGTCGTTTGACTTTCGCCAACTTACTTCACCTATGGCGAAGACGAGATATCCACCTATCAATTAACGGACGAGTATACTGCACAGCAGTTCGCTCTGTTCTACTTCACGGCTGTGAAACATGGCCATTAAGAGTAGAAGATACTCGTAAGCTACTAGTATTTGATCACAGATGTCTTAGAAATATTGCTCGTATCTGCTGGGATCACCGGGTAAGTAATAGTGAGGTTAGACACAGGGTATTAGGAAATAATAGTAAGTCAGTTGACGTGGTTGTAGATCTTCATCGACTGAGATGGTTGGGCCACGTGTACGTATGCCTGAACACCGATTACCACGACGCGCAATGCTGACTAGTATTGGGGATAGTTGGAAAAAAGTTTGGGGTGGCCAAATCAAAACGTGGTATCAGAGCTTGAAGTCACTAACTTCTAGTCTGAGCCATGTTGGTAGATGCAGACTAGTTGGTTGGGGTCCGCGTGACTATCGTAACCAATGGTTGGAGACTCTAGGTGACATGGCTCAGAATCGATCACAATGGCGTAGGTGTATACACTCTTTATCTTCCCTTAAACCTTGAAATTAAAATTGCTTCATAACGTTTTTCATTCCTATACTATATCCTTCTATACAACCTTTCTTTATATACTACCACCACTAAATTAATTACTTCTATGAATCCGGTGTTCATCTTGTTGTGCTAACGAGGTATGGCAACTTGGACCGATGCATAAATGTGCCTGGTCCTACGTTTTACTTGACTGACTGATTCTAGGTCGAAACAGATGTTACTGGTTTTCAATAATACCCAGGAAAGATCAATCTGCTACGAATGCATTTTACAAATCCATAATTCAATTTGTTTTTTTTATTATTCCGTTGTTGTTATTTTCGATTGAATTTTGATCGATCTTAGCGGGGATATGTGGTTCCTATGCGGGTAGCCTTGACTTAACCATTATGTCGCAAGTCTTTATACAATAAAATGGTATTTAGGCCGGGCTGTTCTGGGTTTAAACGCTTAAATGAATATCAACTCTGCAATGCGCATACATTCAACTATTAAGTCCCAAATAATACGAAACACGTTACCTGAATTGCACCTATCTTACAAATTCGTGTTACTTCAGCTGATGTTTAATGGCCCTGGTATCTGACTTCATTTGGATCTTATGAATGATACTTATTGCGATATACATGTCGCCAATCCTCACATACATTTATCGACTTAACTCGTGTTAGTGAATAACGGAATTAAATAAGTCAAATACGAGAATGCAGTTTGAATACGTATATTTCGTACAATCGTTGATCGGATAGCGAAGTAAAACGAAATGACGTGTGGTGAAGTGGTCGAATGAGCCAACTCTATTTAACCAAGCGTGTATAAATATTTATGGTCAGACAAAAAATAATTTACGGCCACATAATGAGTAGGGTAAGTAATTAGCACTTATAGTTATAGAAAACAGTCAGGGTTAATAAGCGAATAAGGTACAGGGTGAATATGTGGCTTTAGAAGAATGAATAGATTGGTCTGTACAGAGGCTAGAATAACCTATGTGGGCTTGACATACTACCAGGCCTTACAGATGGACAAAAAATTATCTGAACAGTAAGAGGAAAAAATATGTAATAATTGGAACCGGCTAGTACTTGTGCACTGACTATGAACTTATAGGAAGAGATATGAGTTCACAAGTGATTATACAATCATGTCTTATAATCGAGATATAATTCACATAGATTATTCAAAGAAAATTATTTAGTAAGCGAAATTACCTTATAACTATTTCAATATGACAGACAGTTTTATTTCAGTGAATCAATAACACGTAACAAGATCCAAAATAAACCAAACCTTAAAAGTATGATCTAAAGGTAGGACTCTACCAGTTTATTGACTACACTTTCACTGACTGTTGAATTGAGTCATACAGGTAAGTGAAAATCACCTGATTGGGGTCCGGATGATCATTGTAACTAATGATTAGAGATTTCAGGTTACATGGCTCAAAATCTTTGATAATAGAAGAGGTGAATTCTCTCTTTATGTTCCCTTACATCCGTTCTTATGCTCCCTTACCTAAATTATTTTCTTTTCTTATTCCACTAATCTATATTTTCCTCTGGAATCTTAGTTTTGATGCCTAATTTATTCTGTTACCTCTAATACAGCTAATAACTTCTGTAGCACTTCTAGAGTCACTACCGATTCTCAAAAGTTACCATTCATTATTCTCGTCAGGATATAACACTAATGTCAATATATGTTTTCGGAATTTCTTTCTATAAAATAATAAGTTATTTTTATTTCGAATTACTTACTTACTTACGCCTGTTACTCTCAATGGAGCATAGGCCGCCGACCAGCATTCTCCAACCCACTCTGTCCTGGGCCTTCCTTTCTAGTTCTATCCAACTTTTGTTCATTCTTCTCATCTCTGTCTCCATTTCTCAGCATAATGTGTCCTTTGATCTTCCTCTTCTCCTTTGGCCTACAGGATTCCATGTGAGGGCTTGTCTAGTGGTGCAGTTGGATGCTTTCCTCAATATGTGTCCTATCCACTTCCACGCTAACCAGAAAATATTAATCAAACCATTTTATTTTCAGTTATTTTATAATCCATCTATAAAAGCATTTGGGATATAAGGTGTACATAGTTGTCAAACTAAAAAGAAATCCATAGAGAATTACATGTATCTTAATTTTATAGACTTGGTCATCTTCATATTGTCTCATTGGAATAGTTCTAATTGAATTTACTGAAATGTATACTTATGTAGCTACCAATGTTGTTTGTTGTCTCACTTTTTGTTGTTGTTAAGGCTTATTCTGACGTAATATATATACTAAATATTTGTCTTTTTTTGCTATTGGGAATTCTCCTTCTAGCTTGCCAAGTTGAAGTACTTTTACAGTTTTCTTGAAAAAAAAGAAGAATTTTCCACACTTTTTAGTTATGATTATGTATCAAATTGTTCTCATTGTAGTGTGGTCTACTTATATCCATATAAATAGTATATGGTGATGGTTAGACATAGAATGTATTTTGGCAGAAGATCGATAAGGAAAGAACTGAAATGAAGCGCAATTGTTAGGAAAATGCATAAACAATGAAGTTAGAAAAGATGGATTGATATTTACAGAAGGAACAGTGAAAATTGAGACAGTTGATGGTTATTTTGCAGATTAACTATCCATTGTGTGGTTGTCAGAATTTAGTGAGATAGTCTGTAATTGTGTGCTTAAATACATTCGATTGTCCCCAACCAGTGTTTTGTTCATTAAAGAACATCTGTGCATTGCTACAATTTATATCACTTGTTGTATTGTTAATATGGCTTCAACTTGTCAGTTTCCATTTTAGTCTGGGATGACATTCCAGCTGTATAGAAAGACAGTAGATATCAGAGACAAGTTCCTTATTACTGGTCAGATACAACTTCATTCTGTAATTCATTATTATACTGACTGTTTCCGTTTTCTCGGTGAACACAGACATTTGTCAGTTTGTTGAAAGTTGTCCGCTGAAAGCTCATTCATTAGGTTACCAGTGGAGACTCATCATCGAGATATCTACAATATTGAAGGAACTGATGTTCCTTGAAAACACTGAATATGCGACTTATAAGTCTGTACACTTCTAATAACTCTAGGCTGAATCTACACAGCCTTCTGTATCTGTCACACACCAGACCACAAGGGCTGATGAGACTCTCAAGATAAGTGAAGCGGTCAACACGCTCAACTACTTCACTCCCTATCATTAGTCCAAGTGCCGATACAACGCAATCCTGAAGTGACATTTTGCATTTCGAGGGAGAGAATCGCATCCCGAACATGCCTGTATAGTTGCTTATATTAATTAGAAGACTCTGCATTTTGTCAGTGTCTTCACTAAACAAAACTATTTAGTCGGCGTATTCTAAGTCAACAAGTAAGTCTCCCAGTAAAAGTTCAACACTTGGAGATTGAGATGATGAAAGTATTATCTTTAAAAGCATGTAAACTACTACTACTACTACTGCTACTACTACTACTACTACTACTACTACTACTACTACTACTACGACAACAACTACTACTACCACGACTACTAATACAACAACTACTACTACCACGACTACTAATACAACAACAACAACTACTACTACTACTACTACTACTACTACTACTA